TCGCAAGGACATCAACCCTAGGTTGGAGCAAACAATAGGACGCTTTCACTGTAAGAGATTGAAGAAGGTGTGGTTTCCCTCTGCTACTCGTCTTCCATATCCACTCCTCAGGGTCAAATGGAAGCTCGGGGATTGGAAGCTCCGGATGACAAGCTCTCCACCCCTGCATAGAGGAAATGAAGAGGACTCTAATTCTATAAATATGCGAAAAGGGAAATAGTAGGACTGTGTTCGAAGGACGTGGTGTAAGGAAATGATCCCTCTTTATTCTATAAATGCTCGTTAGAGCCCCTTCTGGCTGCAGGTAGATCACCTGACCAACTCTTGGTTGACCATCTGGGTCGAACCCCATTACCCAATCAGCTTCCTTGAATCTAATCCCCTTTCTCAACGTTCGTACCCAATCCAAAGGAATGGAGAAGACTATCTGATCAAGATTTGCTGCCGAGTGATGGGCATATCTCATAGATGGCCTCAATTGATTTGCTGATTTCCAATTTCTCCGTTCCAGGTCCCATAGGTCTTTGATCCTTGTGATTCCTCTTCTCACCCAAAGAGACCAAGGTGAGTGAAAACTATTAAACACACGGCCATCGATATCGGTGTTCCATCTATACCCGAAGAGAGGTTGTCTCAAAACCTCGTCATAGCAAGATGGGAAAGGTCTGTGAGGTAAAGGAAGACGTTTCCAAATTCTCAACAGGAAGGTCAAATTATCCAATAATAAACCACCCCTTGCTCCTCCCCGCACCCCTTCCTCATTGGACCGTACTCATGCTCTAGGTAAACTCCAAAACCGGTCCTCTATCCAGGATAATGGATGTAAGTTTCTTTGGTGCCTCAGGGGCCAGCCTTCGAATCTGTTCCAATGCCATGGCCGTCCAAGGTCTATCGATTGAAAGGATCATTTTTTTCAGCCATTGGGTGGACGATGCTTGGAATTGTTAGGAGGGGTCCAAAATCCCCAGACCCCCTCTTGATTTGGGTTGAATCAGGGAGAGCCAAGCTACCCTTGGAATTTTATTTCCTTGCTCATGATTAACTCTCCAGAAGAAGGTTGCTACTTGCCTTTATAGTGTTCTTGTGCGCATTGTACTGATCGGTCATAGAGCGGATTTATACCAAATCAAGGCAAGGACCACATTATTTATAATATGTGCCCTCCGAAGAATGGAAGTGTGTGAGCCCTTCCATTGATTCATCTTATCCAGGGCGGGTTTGGATATCGATTCATCATTAGAGGCTGGCCTACCTTGGGTTGTTAAGGAGACCCCTAATACACGAACCGGGACATCCTTAGGGACCCACTTGACCCTAGGTTGCTCAAAAGGTCGAACCCCATTTGAGTGTGTCCACCACCCTTGTGTTTTACTTCCCCAATTAACCACCATATCAGAAATAAAGGAGAATATATCCATAAGTAGCCAAATTTTGCTTTCGATGCTTCCACCATGATGATAAGGTCATCTGCAAACATGGAGTTGATGGGTATTGCTTCCTCTGGAATCCCATAAATCTGCAGACGCTTAAGGTTACAGTTCTTCTTGAGATTCGCCCCCAAAGCCTCCATAATGATCAAAAAGAGGAAGGGCACCTTGCCTTACAGATCTTTGTAATTTAATTTTAGGCGAGAGGAGACCATCAATTTGTACTATAGTTGTGGCATTTTCATGAAACTTTCTGACCCATTTGCGAGTGTAGGGTCTGAAATTCATTTTGTGGAGTCACCAGTCTACGTGATTGCAAACCTTTTCAAAATTAATAAACACGAAAGCTGCATTCAGTTTAGATCGTCGATAAAGTTTAACTATTTCGTTAATGAGAAAAATATTATCATGAATATGTCTGTCATTGATAAAACCAGTTGGAGAAGGGTGAAAGATATCTGTCATAATGAGAATCAAGCGATTTGCCAATAATTTATATACCAGAATGAGAAGAGTGATTGGTCTACATATTCCAATGTTAGATTTGTCCCCTTTCTTATACCCTCCCCAACAATTTCACCAATTTTCCTAGATTCATACACTGCCTCGAAGAATTCGAACAGGTCAAAGGAGAAGGTTGGTCACATAACTTCCAAAAACTCCTTGGGAAGACCATCTATCCTTAGAGTTTTGTCTTCTTCCATTTGAAGTAAGGTCGTTCCTTTCTCCTTAAATACTAGAGGCCTCTCGAGATGTTGTCATCGCTCCTGAGTACGAGTTTATGTCATAGGGATAGGGAGTTAGCCATAGCATCATTATCCTCTTGTCGCCTCAACGGGTCTTTAGAATAAGTAAATAGTTGCTTAAAAAAATATAGGTTATCTTAAAACTAGCGGCATAGGACACTGAAGAGGAGCGTTCTATGTACTCGTGAGAATCATGAAGACCTTCGATCATATTTCTCCTAGATCTTGCTCGAGCAAGAGCAAAGAATGACTCATTCATTTGACCCTCTGTCACAAATCTGAAAAGTTTACCCCTGATCAAATGTTTTTGCCAACGGTGTTGTGCGAAGGCTAGTAATTGATTTTTGAGTTTCAGAATGTTAGTTGGTTGCTGACTACTATTAGATTGATTATTCAGTTCATATTTTAGAACTTGTTCTTGAATTTTCATCTTCTTCGCATACCATTTTTTTGCTAACAATTTCGAATATTCATTACATTTTTTGCAATAAAGGTCAACCCACAATTGAACTAGGACATCAAAGAGTCGTGACTATCTTTAGTTGTATGCCATAACTCCATACCTCGTGTATATATTGTATAAATTGTGTCTGCAAGAGCAAAGAGGTGTTGAGTTTATATAATATTTTCCCTTGATCCGTTTTTTCTCTAAAAGATAGCAATATTGCACACATCTTATGATTTGTCACCGGTCATGGGCTGGGGGGAAATATTGTTGCCCATAGTAACGCCCTATCAAGATTCTTTGACATAAGGATGATCTAGATTTTTTATTGCTCGGGGGAACCAACGTGGTGAATATAAGTGAAGTGTCTCTCCTGAAGAAAGATTCTACGCAAAGTATCAAATAGATTTTATGAATCACATAACCTCCTAATGATGTTTTTATCTTTTAGGGCGGACATGGAGAAGGAATCTTTCATCTATCCAACCATATGTCAGTAGCTGCATTGAAGTCCCCTGCCATAATTACAGGGATTCCATCGGGGATCTCATCCCCAATTTCCAAAAAGAAAACGACCCTTTCCTGCACATTATTAGACCCATATACATTGAGAACATAAAGTAGTTCCAATTTCAACCAAACAAAAACGGAGACCCGTCGTCCTCGAGTTTTGTCCGCTTCCCACTCTACTATTTCCACCCTTGATTAAAGAACTATCCATATCGACACACCTCTTAAACCACATCTTTGAGCCAACGAGTATACTTTTTGGAAGGGCCACATTAAGTTGTGTGCCCTGATATGAGAGGGGGGCTCAGTAAGATGTATTTCTTAGATATATATAAGATATGACCATGCACGACTACCTAATCTCCTGACATGTTCCAGAATCGTTTTATGCTTTTCCGCATCAGCGGTAGCTAATTTGTTGACATTAAGGGATCTTAGGTCTAAGTCCGCTGCTCTGATAACCCTATGTCAACCATGATTATTTCCATAATACGCTTGCAAAGCCCCCATTACAGTTGAAGATTACCCTATATACTCTCATGTTATCTGAAGTATAGGCGGATCCAACTACCCTGATCCAAATCAGATTTCCTTTCTTTTTTCGCTTAGTTTTTTTGTTAGCATTGATTGCTCTCCTTGGGGGGAGGATTTACTGAGAGTGCAATTTTGGGGAACAAAACAACATCGGATAAAACTTCAACAAAGCAGAGATAGACAAGCAGAAACCACACATCCTGCTAGCACAATGTGGTTGCATCTAGCAACCTCACATCTTGGCAGCACAATATTGCATCTCCATCTTGTCGTCGAAGAGTGTCGGGTGGAAGGTATCTCGTGCTGCTGGGTGTGAAGTTAGTCATGCCCTGCAATCTAAGGGCGTACTCACATTAGGACTATTTCAGCTTAGAGACAATTGTGGACACAACAAATTTTGGGTTTGAAAAGGAAAAATAAAACACTAAATGTCACACTGCTCACGGCGCCACGGCCTGCCCTTGCAGTTATGACATATGTTCCTCTTCCATGGCCATGGTGCTTTCATTAAATTTCCCAACTCGGTGGCTGTTTATTTTGTCGGCGTGTGTGGTTTTTTGCTTGCTCAAAACTCGTTTGTGACACCATAGCCATCGCCCCTTCAACTTATCTTTCGACGTAAATTGCCGCGAGATGCACACGGAACAGTTTGTGAATGCGTGAATGTGGCCAGATATACGAAAGTAAGTTTTTGTGTGAGTATGCCCTAAGTGTATCTTTAAATACCTATTTCTTGTATAGCTGGCAAATGTAATTTAGCGTGTATTTGTACATGGTGTATTTTTGTTCATCTCGCTATGGCTTCGATCATATGTGCGTGGTAGATGTGTGCTCATGAATAATATATGTTGACCTATCCTCATGCTTTGGCTGGATTTTGCGGTTCAGTCCTTCAACCAATTAGTCTGCTTGGCTCATCCATAAGAGGGGAAGAGAAGGTGGGGGAATAGGATGAGGGTGAGGCAGAAGGATAAAGAAGGGTAGAGTAGCTCTAGGTGCGACATAGAGTTCGAACTCGCCTGCTGCCCAAAGCCATATGCGTTTTTTTTTCTTTTTTTTTCTTTTTTTCTTAAAGAAAAGCCCAGGTTGTTGTAGAGGCTGGATTCTAGACATATGAGAGTCACCAAAGAGTGGCTTGACATAGCTGCACTAGCGCTAGCGCCCTGATGTCGGCGGACCAGTAAGACCCGGTTCCCCCGGCTCGACTAGCGCCCGGGGAGGGGGGCTCCTCGGATGCTAGGCCTGTGCGCGCGCCCGACAGACGTGTGTGGCTCCTTGATTGTCCACGTGGCATCTGATGTTGGTGACATGGACAACCGCGACGTGCAGGCAGGGGTAGCGCCAAATGTGAGAGAGACGAGGAAATACATAGGGGTGCAACTATTTGCATACGTGATGGAGTTGGTGGGGGAGCTACAACATGGTGATATTATTTTTTACACAGAAGATGACGTCTTGCATGGAGAGGATGGTGGGCAAGATGAGGAAAACGTGATCAATTACAACGCTAATATTTGTGCAGGGTGTGTGGATTGGGAAGTAGAAAGTGAGATGGGTCGTGAAGGGGCTGAGTGGGACAGGGATGAGCATAAGGTGGGGGTTGGCGGGTGGTGGAAGAACCTGATGGAGCTCTCTTACCAGGTCGACGCCGAGAGTGCCGACGTTGACGGTGACACTCATCTGCATCAGGGCAGCGGAGACCAGGCAGATGAGTGGGAGGTGGAGCTGGGGTTCATGGCAGAGGCGATAGATGTGGTGGAGGAGCGGCAAGGAATGGGTGAGATGGGCGAGATGGGTGAAAAGGATGACAATAGCAACAGCAACAACAACAACAATAACAACAACAACAACGACGATGACGACGACGACGGTGGCGAGCAGGGAATGGGTGAAATGGGCGAGACTGGCGTGAAGGATGACAACAACAACAATGGCAGCGACAACAACGAGATGGGCGAGATGGGAGAGAAGGATGACAACAACAACAACAACAACAACAACAACAACAACAACAACAACGACGACGAGGGCAACAACAACGAGATGGACGACATGGGAGAGGAGGATGACAACAACAACAACAACAACAATGATGGCGAGCAGGGATTGGGCGAAATGGACGAGAAGGGCAAGAAGGGTGACAACAATGACAACAATGAAGGTGACAACAACAACAACAACAACAACCATGATGAAGGTGGTGGTGGCGACCATGGTGGCAGCGGGGCAGAGAGTGGTATTTGTGCATTCAAGATTTCTATCAACACAGTGGGAGAGAGGCCGCAGGAGGATGTCGAGGGGATTGGGCGTGACAACAACAACAAACAAGACGACGACAACAACAATAACAACAACAACAACAACAACAACAACAACAACAAAAACAAAAACAACGACGATGACCACGGGGGGAGCGGGGCAGAGAGTGGTGTTTGTGCATCCAAGACCTTTATCAGCATCTCGGGAGAGATGCGGCAAGCAACAATAAAAACAATAACAACAATAACAATATCAGCAACGAAGTGGGGGGGAATTTGTAGCTTGTTGGGGCTGGCAAGGTGGGGTTTGAAGTTGAAGGTGCGATGTACCGTTCCCCCCCATCCCTACCCGGTGTTTTTTCATGTTCAATCGTGTCTCCTTTTCTGGCACCGGGTGGGAGTAGGATGCATGATTTTTTTTGCATTGAGTAGGGTTGATCGCCGCATAGGCGAGTAATCATTGTCTCTGTTTTTTTTAGTGATATAGGTGGCGATCTCATTTAGGGGCTACGTAGCACCGTGTGCGCGTTCGGAGGCGAACGCGAACATGTTCGCCCGAACGCGAACAAGCGCCAAAAACCCTTCGAACGCGAACATAAAAAACATTTAAAAAAACAAAAAAAATTCTCAGGAAAATCTGAAAAATATATATGTTTTGTAAAATAATAATACAAGCAACTTTTGTCTTGGAGTCATGTTCAAATTCGTAGCCAATCATGAGTTAAAAATAAAAAAAAATATGTTCGCCCGAACATGTCCGCGAGCTGTTCGCGCGAACGTGAAGGGGCACGAACACGTTCGCCGTGCTACGCAGTGTAGGGGATAAATCATGAGCAGGAGATCAATCATTCCCCTGCGTAGGGAAATAATCAATGCCTCTGCTCTTTTCGATGATACGGGTGAACCACAAACACATACAGACTAGCTGTACACATCATAGTATAGGGATGCTGGATCCGATCTCCAACTCACACACAATACACACACAGTTCACACAGTTCATTTGTACTAGGGTTTCGCTTCATATCTGTGTTAGGGTTTCGGTTACCGGTTTGATCGATAGGATCGGGCTAGATATGGTTCTCCCTTCGTGGGACAAATTTGATTGATGAAAATGTTCGGTGTTCCGTGGATTTACAACCTTGCTAGGATTTCCTGGCATAGTCACTCATATTCACAGACCACTTCATAGGGACGCTGGGCCTCATTCCCAGCCAATACACAACACATCCTTGTTTAGAGACACTGGACCCAATTGTTCTGATCTCCAGCTCACACACATCATATCGAAGTTAGGGTTTCGTCTTCTGGTCTGATAGATAGGATTGGGCTTGATGCCTTAGTTCGTTGTTGTGAAACTGTAGATCAGATGGATAGGGTTCTCCCATCATCTGACATATATTGGTTAACGAATATAAAGGTATTAGGAGATACAACCCAACTTTCGGACCACGTGCTTATCAAGGTCATCATCGACCGGCGCCTAACACACGCTCGTCTGCTTTCAGAGGCCATTGGCCCATTGCGCATGTTCACGTCACAGGCTGACGTGGCATCACGCCAGGATCAGGATAGTAGTATAGGCCAGAAACATCTCGTTTCTGAGCCTATTGCCTCCTGAGCCCCCCGAGGATACTCCATAGCCATCGTGCTTGACAACACGGTGTTGTCCGGTCTTCATGTTCCACAATCTCTCCCCGACTTCCCCCCTCCGGACAGTGGCATCGCTTGAATGGGCACGGTATGTTTCTCGCGTGACATAGCCCGGATCTATTGTTGGCGTTTTGGCTAGTTTCATGTCCCCTGGTTTTCCCTTCCTTCCTTCCTCGTCCTCTCCCTGTTACTCATCTCTCCCTCGTCCTTCCTTTCTCCCTCGTCTGACCCCTGCCCTTCAGGGTGACATCGCGTGACCGAAGTTGTTCGTCTTCCCCTTCCCCTTGGTTTCTTCGCTCCCCGACAGCCTCCTCCCTATTCAGACAGCTTCTCCTTCGCTGATCCTCGTTCCCGTACTGCCCGCTTCGACTCCTTCTCTCCCTTCCCCTCCTCTTCCCCCATTTCCTGGTCGTCTCCTCCCCCCTCTCCTGGTTGTCTCGCCTCCCATCTTAGATAACCCCTCCCCACCCCCACTATCTCTCCCCGACTCTTGGCAACCCAATTGGCCCTCTCCCTCTCCCCCACCCTCCTCCTTAATCTCTCCTCTCCCCGACAGCCCCCTCCTCACTCCGTCAGCCTTCCCCCATGTTGATCCCTTCCCCATCTGATTTTCCCTTCTTGGTTGGGCTTCCCGTCATCATGATCCCCTTCTGCCCTCCCCCTTCTGATCCTCCTTCCTGATCTCTGTTTCCTGGCCGTGCTTCCCCCCCACCCTCCTTCGATCTTTCCTCTCCCCGACAACCTTACCCTTCCTGATCCGGGCTTCCCGTCATCGCGATCCCGTTCCCCACCGTCTGCCATCCATCTTCTGATCCCGGCTTCTCATCATCGTGATCTCCTTCCCCACCTTCTGCCCTCCCTCTTCTGATCTCCCTTCCTAACCACTGCCTCTCCCCCCTGTCATTTCCCCCAACTTGACTCCCGACCCGACCCGAACTGCATACTACCCTGACCTGACCCGAACTGCCCCCTCCTCTCCTCTCAATGACCTGGCTCCCTGCAATCCATTTTCTCTAATTCACTATTCTCCTCTTCGCTTCGTTTTACCCTCCCTGTACTGGTCACCTCCGGGGACGCCACCTTGACAAAGCAAGTGTTAACAGGAAAGGTTGAAACATGGTGAGCGGTAGAGGAAAAAACAAACAGCAGAGGGTGCACAAGAAATTGGACTCCATGCTAATGTACAAGAGGGTCGCAAGACACCACGCCCACAAATGGCTCATGGGTTCTAACAGCTCATATCCATCCCACACGGTAGAGAGCGCGCAGGAAGGAGGGAGGGACGGAGGGAGAATCGGGAAAGGTGTCCAGGAGGAGTTTTCATCGAGTTCATCTAGCCAGAGTATGGGTCAAGGTGCGGCTCGAGATCGTAGGCAAAGACGGTAGCGAGGCCGTTTGCTGAGAAATCCATTCTTATCCAACGGAAGAATGAAGGTAAGAATGATGCGAAAGGGGATGAATAGAGGATTCCGTTAGGATGTTTAACATCAGTTGGGGCTTTCTTCCTTACCCGCCTCCTGGTCGCCTCGAAACATAAGATAGCACACCAAGGTGGTAGGAAGGTCGTAGTCCAAGCACTCTCGGGTGACAAAGTGAGAGAAAGGGATGAGTTGTATACACGCCACGCAAGCAACTGGGATTTTCATGATGACGTGGCGTTTAAATAAACAAACGATAAGGTTGGCTGGATCAGGGAACGTTTGACGGTTTTCAAGGGATCCTTGGAGGTTGCTCACGATCTCTTCCTGATACAACCAGCCTCGTCTTCTGTTATTACTGTCATTTGTATGTTTGACGAGGACAAAAGATCAATGGATGGATGAAAGTCGCTTCATTGTGAAGGATCGGAGGTGTGAATCTACTCGTGGTCTCCCCCAAGACAGCCGAGACCGGAAGAACGAAGGGAACAAATAATGAGGGAGCACTTCTGGGCAGTGCCGGACCCGTGAACGTGAACGGGTCCGGCCACCAAAACGTGACCGGCCGTTCACCGGGTCCGATTACCGTGAACGGCCGTTCACGGGGGCCGTTCACGGCCTTGGTGGCCACGTGGCAGCCCGGGTCGTCGGCGTCGAGGTGCGATCGGGGTCGCGCGGGATCCAGCTAGGACCCCGGTACCTTCAAATCAGAAAAAAAAAAAAAAAAGATATACATATGTGTGATGGGGTGTGAACCGACACTCTGTAGAGTTTTCCATCTGGTGTGGGTGAGTGATAGTCTACTTTGATTTTGGTTAAGGTGGATTATCACTTACAGTGTA